ACTTTTCCCCCATCTGCATGATCTCTAACAGCTGTGCAATTGACTTTCATTTTCCTTAATACCTCATTTTCTGTAATTCCTGCAGAAAACAGACCCAAACAGGGCAAAAATGGCCAAAATGGAAGGTGTGGTGTTTGTTATTCAGCTACTCATGGCTTACAGTCCTGAGTCTGATCATTCCAAGTAGCTGAGTGACTGGTCTTGGAGGTTATCTTTGACTTACTATACCTGGATTCTCTAACTGAAGAGTGTCTCCCCTGACTTAACTGAGGGCTGCCGATGACCATGATATGCTTTCTTGCTCTATGTCTGCACTGCACAGCAAGGCAAAACAGAAGGTTGGTAGCTCTGGCCGAGGGAGCAAAGTACAAAAAGGCAAGGTAAGGCAGGAAAGCTCTAAGTGAGTGAGTACTATGAAACAAAGCAGACAGACATGAGCCTGTCAAGTCTGTGAGTTTTGTGTCTGTCTCTGCATGCAAAATTTCCTTGCAGTAGCATAGCAATCGTAGTTGCTGATGCACCCAAGGTGCAGCAGCATAGTTCAAGTGAACCAGAGATGTTCCATATTGATCAGGTGATGCTGGCAAATGTCTGATGTCGAGGGCCAAGGTTATGGGGTGCATGTAGTCACTGTCCATGGAATGTGCCTTGAGATGCTGGTACTGGGTGTCCAAGATGGAAGTCTAGAGGTGGAAACAGCAGGCAGGAGTTGCTAGGTGTCCGCTAAGACTTCTTTGTTGGTTATTCTCAGCATCCAGTTTCTTCGCAGTGGGCCGTCGGACAGGATCCTGCATATCAATTAGGCAGGATCTGCAGTTAGTTGGGCTAACAACACCAATAATCCCATTAATAGGCATCTCACTGCTCCCTAACAAAAATCTCATCTTGATGCCTGGGATTCAGTTGGAAAATGCAGCGAGTTGCTTGTGACATGTATAAAGACCTCGCTGGACTTCTCACATGATTCTCGCAGCCCTCATTGTTAAGGTCCCTGTAAGATTTCACCCTTAGGATTAAGGCAATGAAGGATTCGGCATAGTGCCAGAATGAGGGGTAGGTAAAATTCCAACAATGGAAACAATCTGTGATTAGGAAAACACATCCAACATGAAGGTGGAAGCTACAATTCCCACATGAATTAGGAGCATAAGGATACCTTTATAGCATGGAGTGCGATGAGGGGAGCACAATGGCAGTATAGGAGACAGAAACATTGGCATCAGTATGATGAAAGGCCCAGAGTGATATGTGCCCTACAGATAAGCAAGAATCCATTCCTAGCCTTGGGCAGACAGATACCCAAGCCATCAGTGAATAGGGATGCAGAAGGGGTGGCATGGTGGCTCAGGGGTTAGCACTGCTGCCCCACAGTGCCAGGGGCCTGGGTTCGATAACCCCCTCGGGCAACTGTCTGTGTGGAGTTTGCACATTCTCCCCATGTTTGTGTGGGTTTCCTCCCACAGTCCAAAGATGTGCAGGCTAGGTGGATTGGCCATGCTAAATTGCCCATAGTGTTCAGGGATGTGTAGATTAGATGGGTTTGGGGAATGGAGTCTGGGTGGGATTTTCTGAGGGTCGGTGTGGACTTGTTGGGCTGAAGGGCCTGTTTTCACACTGTAGGGACTCTATGGAAGACATTGATGGCACTGGGATAGGTGTGGAAAATGCCAGTATCAAGTGACAAGAAGGAATACTGTGCACATTGGATGGAGAATGGAAAGAGGTGCACCAACGTGAACTCAAGAAAAGGAACATTGTATCAGTATAAATAAGATGGGAGGGGTGTTGCAGAAAAGATGGGGTAATTTCTGTCCCTTCCTCTTATTGTCTTTTGAAGTGTAATGTTATAAAAACATCATTTTTAGAGTTTGGATTTCAAACTAGAAGCATATGAGTATTGGTTACCCTTGTGAAGGGTTTAAAAATGAACAATGTCAGAGTCCTTTCAGAACCAAATCTTAACCCAGCAGGTAACTGAAAACCCCCTGGAGTGTAAATGGAGCTTTGTTGATACTTTGAGGTTTATGACAGGGAGTATATTCTTAATCCTTTCAATGTTTATTCAAATGTTGATTTTAGGAAGCTCTGAAATTGAAATCCTTTAGGGCATTTTGGATAAAACTAGATTGGGATTAGAGATAAATATGCTTTCTCTCCTAAATAAGGACAATAGAACAGTTAAGGAAAAGCTCAGTTACTTTTGTCTAAAAGTTTAGCTTTGAAACTTCCAGACCAGGAATGATTGGTTAGAAAATGTTCAATTATTAAAATAAAGTTTCAACTTACAGTTTCATGGAAAACAACCTAAACTTTTACATCAAGGTAACTGAGCTTTCCCTGAACTGTCCTATACTTCGTGGTATTTGTGGACCAAGACATCACAGTTCACAGGACAGAACTGGAAGAAGCAGTTAAGCCAAACCTAAAGATTTGGTCTAGAAGGATAATTTCTCTGGTTTTGAATTGCTGTGAAGTCATGATATTGGTGAATAGATTAGGTTTTGCCTTGCTGTGTGTTTTAAGACTTTTCAAACTGTATTCTATGTTTAAATAGAGATTGTAGGAACTGCTGATGCTGGAGTCTGAGATAACAAGGTGTAGAGCTGGATGAACACAGCAGGCCAGGCAGCATCAGAGGAGCAGCAAAGCTGGCGTTTTGGGTCTGGACCCTTCTTCAGAAATGGGGGAGGGGAAGGGGACTCTGAAATAAATAGAGAGGAGGAGGCGATGATGGAAGGTGGATAGAGGAGCAGATAGGTGGAGAGAAGACAGAGAGGTCAAGGAAGCGGGGATGGAACCAGTAAAGGATAGCGTATGTAGGGAGTTGGGATGGGAGTTGGTCAGTTGGGAGGGAGGGGCCGGTAGGTGGGAGGGAAGACGGATGGCTCAAGGAGACAGGGATGAGGCTGGTAGGTAGGAAGTGGAGGTGGGGGTTGGTCAGTGAGGTGGGAGGAGCGGATAGGTGGGAGAAAAGACAGACAGGTCAAGGAGGCGGGGGCAAGCTAGGCTGGTCTTGGGATGAGGTCGGGGTGGGGAGATTTTGAAGCTTGTGAAGTCCATATTGAGACCATTGGGCTGCAGGTTTCCCAAGTGGAATATGAGATGCTGTTCCTCCAGCCTTCAGGTGGCATCGTTGTGGCACTGGAGGAGGCCTAGGATGGGGGACATGTCGTCCAAGGATTGGGAGGGGTAATTGAAGTGGTTCGCGACTGGGAGGTGTAGTCATTTGCCACGAACCGAGCGTAGGTGCTTCAAAAGCAGTCTCCAAGCCTCTGCTTGGTTTCCCTGATGTAGAGGAGGCCACATCGGGAACAGTGGATACAAGATACCACATTAGCAGATGTGCAGGTGAACATCTGTTTAATGTGGAAGGTTTTCTTGGGGCCTGAGATGGGGGTGAGGGGGGAGGTGTAGGGGCAGGTGTAGTACTTCCTGCGGTTGCAGGGAAAAGTGCCAAGGGTGTGGGGCTGGTGGGGAGTGTGGAGTGGATGATGGAGTCACGGAGAGAGCGGTCCCTCAGGAAAGCAGATAAGGGTGGGGAGGGAAAAATGTCCTTGGTAGTGGGGTGATGGGAGTGGAAGAGAGGAGGTGAGGGTGTTTAATGGGGGAGGGGAATTAGGATAAGGGGATTTTATATGGGGGGCTGAGGGAATTTGATAGTAAGGGAGAGGAGTTTAGAGGATTTGATTGGAGACAGGGAATTGGAATGAGGGGATTTCATGGGAAAAAAGGAAAAGGAGTTGAGGCAAGGGACCCTGCAACAGATGAGGGAGATCATGGTGAGGGAGGGAGAACTGCTGTGAATGGGTTCAAGGAAATAAAAGTGCTTGATGGGGATGCGGAATAGAAGGAGAGCAAGGGAGTTTGAGGGGATGAAGGAGGTGCAGATGGACTGGTGGGAGTGGTCAAGAGGTGTTTGATGGGGGTGAGGGATGGGAGATGAGGGTTAGGATGAAGGTGTTTGATGTGGGGATGGGGAGAGATAGACAGACCGAGTTTGGAAAATATAAGGCAATGAAAAGGGAGGTGAAACCTTTTGATAGGGGTGAACAAGGGGGGATTTGATGGGATCAGGGGCAGTAAGAGTGGTGGGATTTGAGGAAAGGATGGAGGTAAAATTAGGGTATTTGAAGGAGATGAAGTAGGGGAAAGGAGTCAGGAAGGGAACATGAAGATGAAAGAGTTTGATGGGAGTCAGGGAGAGGGAGATGAGGGTGAGGAGATTTGATAGGGCTTTGATGGAATGATGAAGCTAAGGGTGTTCGACAGGGAGGGGAGGTAAGTGTGAGTTTTGATGGGGGTGACAGGTTTTGATGCTAGTGATGGTAAGGGGACTTGATGGGTTGATGAATTGGGGGCTTTGGTTGGGGGAAGGGAGACTGGCTGAGGGAGTGGCAGATTCAGGTTCATCTGAAGGCTCTGATGGGAGTGAGGGGGGTTTGCTGGTATTGAGAGAGAGATGAGGCTGAGTGGTTTGGATGAGGATAGTGAGGCTGAGGGGAATTGATAATGGTGTGGGGGTTTGGTGCGGGGGTGAGGGTCATGAGGATGAAGAGGATTGTCAGGGGTAAGGGTGTTGATGAGGAGGTTGACGAACGTAAGGGTGAGTCGATAGTGGTGAAAGAGGTTGACATAAGTAAGGGTGACCTGATGGATATGAGGATGAGGTGACGGTCAAATGATGGAGGTGAGGTGCTGGAGGTTGATGGAAATGAGGGTGAGGTGAAGGAGGAGTACAGAGGTAAGCGTGAGTTGTTGGAGGTGAAGGTGAGATGAGAGTGAATTGATGGGGGTAAGGGTGAGATGATGGAGGTGAAGGACGTGACGGTGAGTTGATAGAGGTGAAGGAGATAAGAGTGAGGTGAGTCTGAGTTAACGGAGGTAAGAGTTGCTGGATCTCAGAGTGAGGAGTGAGTTGAGGGGGGGAATGAGGCGATAGGGCAGGTGGAAAGCAGAAGAGAGGAAAGGCGCATGCGCTGGTCCGGCGCGCGGTGTCTTGAAGGAGCCGTCACCGGAAGTTGTCGTTAACGGCTGTTTCTTCGGTTTAAAAATCCCCTCCCCGCCTCCGTGCGCCTCCCCCCACCTTCCCTTCTCCCTCCTAGGGACAACACTGAGCGAACGGCCTGGGCCTCGGCAACGTCTGCACGCATCGGAGAACACTCAACCCCTGAGACTCCCGGACCGCGGGCACACTCAAATCCTTCTGCCTCTTGGAGAGGCCCCACTTCAGCAGCCGTGTCCGCGGGGAAAGGTGAGAGCAAGGGGGAAGTGGGTGGGGGTGGAGGATGAGAGTGGAGGAGGGGGAATGGGATCTACGAGGCCAGCTACTCGGACCGAAGTTTAGGGGGAAGCAGCTCTTTCCCTAGAGGAGTTAGCTGGTGGGCAGGAGGGCAGTGTTTACCTGGCTTAGCCTGGCCGTATTCGGGGAGTTCGTGTACCGGCTGCAGTGGGTGATGTGATGTGTTGCCTGCCCCCCCCCCCCCCCCCCGGTGGATAGTGTTATCTCTGTCCGTACTCTTGCATGGGGAAGAGAGCGAGGGATGCAGTATTTAACCCCCTGGGGGGAGAGGTTTGGGGCCGCAATGAGACAGGTGGATGAACCCCAGGCAGATGTTTTTATTATCATTACTGTTTTCAAAACGTGTCGCTCAGTTCCGAGTCTGCAGTAGTTAAATGTCTTTGCAGACTGTCTGGGATTTGGAACAGGCGTCTGTCTGTTTGTAAACTGTACGTACGTATTACAGGCTTTTCAATGAACTCTTGCGCCCGTCACAGTTTATGTTGGGCACTACGAGTTTACAATTGAAACATGACCCCAGACAGGCCACGATCAGCTGGATTATTTGATAGCCAAAGCCGTAGTAAAAGGCTCCGGTTTGTTTTTGCTAGTTAAGTTGTTACTTTTCTTGCCGTTCCCGTCTATTTGGATATCTGAGCCCAGCTGATGCATAGATGATGGTTTTTCTTCGGGCTCGTAGTATCATACGTTCTTGCGCCTTTCTGACTATCCATGAATTTTGTGCCTTTCATCCTGTTAAAAGGAGGTTTCGTGATTTGGGTCCCGGAGCGTGCGTCTTATTTTTATTAGAGACCCGTGCGTTAATTTCCTTGTCATGAGGGTTAGTGAGACTCGTATTTTCCCATCACCAGAATATGAAGATTTCATAGCTAATGTGTTTTTACGTCTCCTGAAATGGAAGTGATAGTGAGGTATGTTGGCAGGGAGTGCAAAAGCAAAATTGCATTTGTAAACCTCAGCCTCCTATACTCCAGGGAAAATTGTAAAAATGCGAGTGCACCTTAATAAAATGCAATCATTAAATAGGGTATGTTTTTAAGTGCTTTTTTTTTTGTTTAATCGATCAGTTGCCGAGCCTCGCCACTTCCCCTCGTTATTTATGCCACATTAGTTTAACCCAATCCCAAATCGTTCAGCCGTAAAGGTCAGAATACGATTGCATAATATCACATTCACAGTCGCATGATCATTTTCTATCAGTGACTAGCTTTCCTGCTTCCAAATCTCTCTCGACCTAGCAACAACAACAGGCTGTGACTTTAGATTATTTTTAAACCTGGACTTCGCTGAAGGTGAGATGGATAATTATGCAAGTGGAAGATGTCATTTTCTGTTAACTTTGATTGCAATAAGTATTATTGGGGTTGATAAGTTTTCTAATTAAGTTAAAGAAATAAACTTAAAAATCTCTCTTGTTTTGCAAAATGCAACCAGTTATTGCTATATAATTAATCTCCACTTAAGACACATTGGATTGACTTTTAAAAAATGATTGTTTAAATGCATTCTTAATATGCGGCCCAACATAATTAGTATACTGTACCAGTTGCATATTTTTGGTTGCTGCCAGAATAAAGTCGGAAGACGTTTTTAGGAATTTGTGTTAGTACTTTGGATGTGTTATACTGAACAAATATTTAGTGTTCCCTGAAATGAGGAACTGCCTTGCAAAAAGGAGCACAAGGGCTTCATTGTATCTGTTGATTCAGATGAACAGTAAAGATTTCATCACAAAATTACATTCTTGGAGCTTTTGCCTACCAATGATCCAAAAACTGTTAAACAGTGATCCCCAGTAAGTATTGATATTAACAAATTACTTAATTTAATACTATTTACTATTTTTCTTGCTTAAGGCAATTTCGATGTTAAATCCTTGAAGAATGCAATGTAAATAGATTAATTCAAATGTAAATTCAATAAGAATAAGGCTGTATAACTGATCTTCTTGGACAGTCTCCAGTGGTGGCATACCTATCTAATTAATTGAGCAGAACTATTATTTTCTCAAAAAGGCAAGATTTTAGAGCTGTGTAGGACTGCATGAAAGATTTACTCGTTGAAGTATTTAGGAAAAACTGCATTTTGTTCACAGCAGAAAATATGTACAGTTGGTCAGTTAGCATCTGAAAGATACAGCTTGGCTTTTTATCCTTCATGATTTGAGTGGTCCTGCTGAAGGATCCTTCTCAAAATATTAATGTTTTTTGTTTGAGGCATTAGCACACTTTGTCTTATTTCATATTTGATTTTTAAATTTAAAAGGCTGCAGAAAAGATTTACAAGGATGTTGCCAGGGATGCAGTGTTCAAGCTATAGGGAGAGGCTGAACAGGCTGGGGCAGTTTTCCCTGCAGCATAGGAGGCTGAGGTTTACAAAGTCATGTGTGGATAGGCTGAATAGCTGAGATCTTTTTCCAGGGTAGGGAAGTCCAAAACTAGAGGACATAGGTTTAAGGTGGCAGGGGAAAGATTTAAAAGGGATCTGAGGGGCAACTTTTTCAGAGAGGGTGGCATGTGTTTATGGAATGAGCGGCCAGAGGAAGTGGTGGAGGCTGGTACGATCACAACATTTAAAAGGCTGGGCACAAGGATGGGATATGGGCCAAATGGGACTAGATTAATTTAGGATATCTAGTTGGCATGGACGAATTGGACCAAAGGGTCTGTATTTTTTTGTGTGTATAACTTGATTCTGAGATTCCCTAATCTTAGTTTTTCTTAGTATTTCTAATATTGACTTGGCTTATCTGGTTATTCTGCCTCCAAATCAAGCTTGTTTATTGATTTCCCATCCCAGAGTTTGAGCATATAATCTTGTTCTAACATTTTAGTGCAATGCCCTCTCGTACTCCATTTCGTGCTCTTCACCCACTGTCTAAAGTCCTTACACTGACCTATCAGGCGTAGTTTAATTTGGCTCAGCGTGTTCTGCTGTATGTTGGGGATTTGGGGAGACCAAATGCAGATTGGATGGTAGCTTTCCAAATGCCACAATCAGTCTACAAGCATGACCTGAACTTCCTCACTATTATTTCAATGTTTTTTTTTCTCATGTTGATATTTGCTTTTCTGAAAAAAATAATACTTTGTTTGGCACAATACAGATTTGAACCACTGGTGACATAAAATTTTTCCAAGTTAACTCTTTCAAAGGAATTGGCAGCATTAATTTGAAGCAAATTTATCCTGAATAGAGTACTCCAACCAGTGTCTCTCTTGCTGAGAAGTTGTCGCTGATAATTGTATACATTAAGAATATACAGGAAGAGGTCATTTGATTGATTATTTACAGGGATTCAAGTCTCACCTGTCATGGAGTTGTGCTATGATGTATTCAAAGGTGCATTTTTTAAAAACAGAAATGTCAGCTGTAACTCACTTGGGTAGAACTCTCCTCTAGATCACTAGATTCCAGGTTCCAATTTGTTCAAGGACTTGAATGGAAAGAAAAAATCAAAAAGCAGGAGGAGCACGGCGTTGTAGGAAATGCTACCTTTATCACAATGACTGTTTATATTACAGAAACATTGTGTTCACTTAACAGGTAAGGATTCTCCGTTCAGAGCCAGGCAGCAGCAATATGAAGAGATGCTTTTAATGGGTTCAGGTGGTTTTGAGAGGGTCAGTTACCCAACTGTTTCTGTCTTTGTGGTTATGTCCATGTCTGGTTCCCCTTGGAGGGGAAGCACATGGTGTCTGCCAGTAGGTTTAAGGCCTTCTGGGGTTGGTGACTTCCACAAGAGCTAGTGTTCGTTCTCTGCCTGTGAACTTTTTTTCATAAGCTTTTTTGTATTGAGAGGATCATGACCAGATTAAGTAAAAGGAAATTTGGCAAATGGTGATGTAAGTCGGCACATTTCAAATTGTGTAAATACAAATTAAGTATACTCAGTAAGGCAAAGGGTTCATTCACAGGTGTACAGGGAGTTGACTAAACTTGAAAATACACTTTTTGAGGAGGGAAGAAATTCCAAAAACTGGTAACGAGAAAATTAATACAAGCTATTTTATGTTGCTTTAAATGCAGGAGGAACACAATAGTGTTTCTATGTAACTGGATGCAATCATCAAGCCAAAAAGATGTTCTGCCTATCAATGTGTCAGTATGATGCTAGACTTGTAAGCTGTGTGTCCCAAAGACTGATGGCTATATTAAAGAGCATATCACTTCACCTGCTTTCAACAAGGTTAGGTACTGACTTCCTAACTGGCTGGTGCTTGCAAAATTCACAAGTGTCTGATCTTAGATATGATTCTACAATTGGGCAATATTTGCCAATAATTCTGAGCATAAATGATTGTGACATCTAATTAGGATTGCCAGTTGGAATCAGTGGAGCACACATGCACATTCTGCTTGTTTCAAATCAATAGTTGGCAGCATCCTTTTAGAGGTGAACACCGCTCATTTTGCTACTGCATTCGAAGTGTGAAACAGCTGACTGCACCTGTTGCCCAAACATTTGGGATACCCTGCCCTTCTAAGGTAATGAGGTAGACTTAACACTTCTCAGGACCAAATACAATAGTCTTGAGCCAATTCATGGGGTTGCACGTTATATAGCCAGATGTAATCTGGATAGCCATTGTCCTGCAGAATGGCTTTGTGCAGCAATGCCTGCATGACAGTGCCTTTACCAATGGTGAACTTGCCAACCAATAAACACTCACACAGTAAGTAATTACCATTACAATGGTATTTGCAAATTTTCCTGATGAGCACAAGACAAAAAGCTTTGACAGAGTTTGACTTTTTCAGCAATATTTAAATTGCAAAGTAATTTTGGAAATAAGAATTTTAATTGCATTAGCAGTGCAAAAGAATCTTTGTGTACAGATATACACTTGGAAATGTAATCTTTGATCTCGTATCTCATTGTCAGAGTCATTCTTGTAAATCCTTTTTTAGCATCTTTGCCTTTTACATAATATGCAGAATACATCTACATC